TGTTGCTGAAGAATAGTATACAAAGAATAGAAGAGAAGAGAAAAGTATTTGTCATAAAACTTTAAAAGGTGGGCAGAAGAAGAAGGGGGAAAAACCCCAAAGAAACTTAAAGAGACAGAGAAAAGGAGAGCTCACTGGCTGAAGCATAATCAAGAAAGCATGGCATTTGTTCCTCAACTGCAGGGAGAAGATAATTTCAGGAAAGCAGCCAGTAAAGTTGTATTTTCTAAAAAAGCAAAAGAAGATGAGTCAAACGAATCCAATTGGGACTCTTAGATTGGGCAATTAGATCTCTCAATTGGTGACCTTTGCCTGAGCCACTTTAATGGAATAGCAAGAAGTGAAGGACAGGTAAGAGGCAGCTACATTATTATAGGATGAATAATTAATTATACTGTCTTTTTAACCTGATTAGAAAAGAAATGTGGAAAGGAGACTAAGCAAAGACGCACAATTAAAGGTATATATGATATACTAACTATTAGAAAGACTTTATTAAAGCCATTATTCCTTTTCATGTTACAGAGTAGATTACTTTAAAGATCAGAGATTAGACCAGAAATATAAAATATCTATCAAGTTTTGAAGATTTAGTGCAAGAAAAAGAACACATTTCAGTAATTTTTATGGTAATGACATATTGGAATGATTAAATAAGATAAATCATTAACATGAACTTTATCAGTTTCTGAGGTGGTGTATTGTCAAGAAGCTGTTCTGCAATCCCAAAGGCATGCAGTTCAAATCAACATATTGATCTGTGTTAAGAAGGATGGGCAATCTCCTGAAAACCCACTGGAGGGCCAGCTATGAGTCTGTCCTGACTTGACAGCACACAACATCAATATTGGCAAAAAGATAATTTAAAAAAATGTATGTGGCTCATACTATGTTTCTAATAAAAAGCAGGTGTCTAACCGTCATGTATACCACAGACTATGAATACAAGACTGTTCGCTCCACATTTTACCACCTATACTCTAGTAATCCTCCCACAGCTCATCTGGTCTTCGCCCAATAGTGTTCAAGGCCTCAAACCAGTTCCTGAAATGGTTCTGAAATTCAGGTGGGACAGACTCAAAGTCATATTTTGGTTGCTGTGGATTTGGTTTAATTTTCCTTAGCTTCAACTTGAACTTGCATATTTTTAGTGGTATGTTCCACAATCTGTTCCTAGACTAGTTTTCACAGCTGATATTGGGCTTTTCCAGTGGTTCTTTGAGCAGACGTAATTGATCTGATTCCTATGCATACCATCAGGTGAAATCCATGTATATAACCTGTGTTTATGTCTTTTAAAAAACGTATTTGCAATGAGTAAGTCATTGATTGTGCAAAATTCAATCATTCTCTCTCCAACTCCATTTCTGTCACCGAGTCCATGCTTTCCAACTACTGAATCTTCTTCTCTGTTCCCAACTTTTGCATTCCAGTCACACATTATTATCATTGCATCTTCACTGCATGTCCAATCAATCTCCGACTGTAAAAGTTGGTAGAAATCTTCTATTTCCTCTTCCTTGGCTCTGGTTGTTAGTGCATATATCTGAATGAAAGTGGTATTCACTGGACTTCCTTGTATGTGTATGGATATTATCTTGTCACTCACAATACTGTACTTCAAGATGGATCTAGAAATTATTTTCTTAACTATGAAAGTAACTCCATTATCGTCACCTTTTTATCTCCAGAGATATTACATAAACATTTGACTCAAAATGCCCCATGCCAGTGCATCTCATTTCCCCAATGCCCAGTATGTCAATATTTATGCATTTCATTTCTTCCTTAACAATATCTAATTTTCCTACATTCATGGTTCTCACATTCCATGTCCCAATCACTACTGTCTGCTTACAACTGTTCCTCTTCCTTTGTATTTCCATACTTGAAAGCTTAACCTAAGTTGCCCTTTCTGTTATCTACATGTGTTCTGTTGTACATAGAGTTTTCAGAGGCCTGCTATTTTAGAATTGGATGGTCAATTCTTCTTCCTAGTCTGTCTTAATCCGAATGTTCAGATTTAGAGATGTATAAGACAGACCAGCATTTGACAGAAAAAGTGAAAGCTATATCCCTTATTGTGGAGTTAACCATCAATATCAGTGTTGTTCCTGCCTTTGGCACAAGTGTCTTTACCCACTTATTTCCCTGCTCCACCATCCACCAGGATACACATCCACTTTTACCCCTTCCCTTCAACATCTATCCCCCATTTGCCTAGCCCTTGATCTGAGAGCTTATATCTGAAGCTTCCTTGGCTTCTGTGATTCCAAACACGTCAGCTGCTGATAGTTTCTTATGCTTTGACCAGTGTCTCTTAAGCTCAGTAGTTATGTTTCCAGAGCGAAGGTGATATGTCCTGTAGAACTGGTGTGTAGAAGGTTTGAGGCCTTGAACACTAATGAGTGAAGACCAGTAGAGCTGTGGGAGTACATCAAGGGTATCATCCAGGAAGAGTGCAAACGATCATTGCAGAGGCAAAAGACGAAGAAAAGACCAAATGGATGTCAGAAGAGACTCTGAATATTGCACTGGAGTGCAGAGAAGCCAAAGCACAAGGAAGAATTCAAGATACTAAAGAGCTGAACAGAAGATTCCAAAAGGCAGCATAGGATGACAAAGTAAAATATTACAATGAAATGTGCAAGGAATTGGAGTCTGAAAATCAAAAGGGCCAAATTCGCTCAGCATTTCTTAAGCTCAAGGAACTGAAGAACAAATTCAAACCTCGAGTTGCTATAATCAAGGATGCTTTAGGCAGAATATTAAATGATCCAGGAAACATTAAAAGAAGATGGAAGGAATATACTGAGCCACAGTATCAAAAGGAATTGGAAGACACAGAAGAATTTCATGAAACAATATATGAGCAAGAGCTTATGGTGATAAAGGAAGAAGTTCAGGCTGCTTTGAAGGAAACAGCAAAAAATAAGGCCCCAGGAATAGATGGTATACCAACTGACATATTTCAGCTAAAAGATGCTGCCCTGGACGTGCTCACCAAGATGTGCCAAGAAATCTGGAGAACAACCACTTGGCAAACTGACTGGAAGAGATCTATATTTGTTCCTATCCCAAAGAAGGGTGACTCAACAGAGTGTGGAAACTATAGAAGAGTATCATTGATGTCACATGCAAGCAAGATTCTACTGAAGATTATCCAAAAACAACTGGAACAGTACATCAGCATAGAACTACTAGAAGTCCAGGCTGGGTTTAGAAGGGGTCGTGGTACTCGGGATATTGTAGCTAATGTTAGATGGATCTTAGCTGAAACAGCGAATACCAGAGGAATGTATATCTGTGTTTCATTGACTATGTAAAGGCACTTGACTGTATGGTTCATAACAAACTGTGGCTGACTCTGAGGAGAATGGGAATCCCAGAACACTTGATCATACTAATGAGAAACCTATACTTGGACCAAGAGGCAGTCGTCAGAACAGAGCGGGGAAACACTGCATGGTTCAAAATTGGGAAGGGCATATGCCAGGGATGTGTCTCCATACCTTTTCAACTTGTATGCAGAACAGATTATCCAGGAGGCTGGGCTCTATGAGGAGAAATGTGGGGGTTAAGATTGGTGGAAGATCTATCAACAATCTGCGATATGAAGATGATACAACCCTGCTTGCTGAAACTGAGGAGGACCTGAAGCACTTGCTGCAGAGGGTCAAGGACTGTAGCCTTCAATATGGATTGAGGCTCAATGTCAAGAAGACAAAGATTTGCACCACCAACAGGCAGCATCAAGATGGATGGTGAAGAGATTGAGATTGTTCACAGCTTTAAGTTTGCTTGGCTCCACAGTCAATACTCTTGGCACCAGTAGCCAGGAAATTAAAAGGCGCATTGCCATGGGAAAGTCTGCTGTTAGGGACTTCTCCAAAGTACTGAAGAGCAGTGGTGTCTCTGGAGACTAAGGTGCGTTTGATACAGGCCATGGTCTTTGCAATCACTTGGTATGCATCAGAGAGTTGGACAATGATTAGGAAAGATAGAAGGTGAATTGATGGTTTTGAGTTGTGGTGCTGGAGAAGAGTACTGAGGGCACCATGGACTTCTAGGAAAATAAACAGATTCATCCTGAAGAGGGTTAAACCGGGTGGCTCCTTGGAGGCACAGATTCTGAGGCTCCGTCTAATATACTTTGGACACGTTGTAAGGAAGGACCGGTCCTTGGAGAGGGACATCATGCTTGGGAGGGTGGAGGGACAGCGCTGGAGGGGAAGGCTCTCTATGAGGTGGACTAAATCACTGGGATGGGTGTATCAGAGATTGGCACAGGACAGAGCAGAATTTAGGGCTGGTGTACATAGGGTTGCTATGAGTCGCAAGCGACTCGACAGCACATACAACAACAACAACAACAAACTCTAGTAAGGAAAATCATTATTAGAACACAGTATCTACAAGATCCTATATCAAGATTTACTAGTTTTTCTTTTCTTTCTTAGGAAATTAGAACATAATATTCATAGCATGATTAATTCAGAAACTCTGATCCAATCATTAGATAAATCAATACATACTTTGAAACTGTTTTCTTATAGTGTAAAAATTTTTAAAACTATTCTTTAATTCAATTGTTATTTTAAATTAATCAATTCAACCATATTAGCAACACGGCTTCTACTATAACTTAAAAAGGTGTAACTAAGTGCCTGCGCCTCAACAGCACTTAACACAACACAACTAAAATGATCAAATTTCTGTTAGTCATTTGGTCCCCAATTTTTCCTATGAGCCAGAATATACTAACAACCCTTCACATGGAATTCAATAATTTGTCCATAAAATATTATTTGTAAAAAATCATTGAAATAATCATATATTCCATATGTCAAAACATTACAGCCTGAGTCATGCAGCCACAAGAAAAAGAATGAAAATAAGATGCAAAAATAAAATTATTTGATGCTGTTAATGCTGTCATATATTGTAACTGATAAAGCTGAAGTTTACTCTGCAGGTAAACGATGAGTAAGTGCACTAACCTTCTGCTTATCTAAGATCTTCATGGCATAATACTGCTCAGTGGCTTTATGTTTCACCAACATGACCCTTCCAAATGAACCTGTCCCAAGGGTTTTTTTCCTCTCAAAATCCTCCAGCCCAGCATTATTCTATATTTACAAGAAAAAAAAACAAGACACAATTAACATTAGAATTCTCATGAGAAGTTTATACAGAAATTTAGTTATACTAAAATAATATAGTAGTTTAGTGACATGTAAGCAGAATGACCCATTTGATTTACAATATTTGTTTTTTTAAAAATAGCAGAAAGACTATTGAGATTTTTAGAACACTTCCTTAAGTAACAACACATAATTGAGAAGAGAATTCTATTCCAAAGCAAGGCAAAGCAAAATGGTAATGGGAGGAAATACAACCTTCCACAAACATGTTAAGTCCACATGAATTCCTAGAATTAGACTTCTAAAAAAGTAACTTGCACATCTTAATAATTACAAACTAAAAAGAATTATACTAGTGAAGATAGTAATGTACATCATGCAGTCTTAGTGTACTTGCAAATAACTGTAATGAATAGGGAAACTGAGAATCTAGTCCCTTCATTGCAGCTACCTACAGGAAAAGTACTTCATGTCTATCTTTGTATGAGCTAGAACTAGATAATTAATAGCAGCATGCAAGTTCTTTCTCTCTCTGATGTTATAATAATCCAGGATTGCTTAAAATAGTAACAATAAACAAAGAAGAGTTCCTCATTCCCACCAAGATAACCAAAAGTCAGCATCCCAGAACAATAATCAGACTCTTCGTCTCACTGAATAAGGGTTTTGTTTTGAGCAAATATCTTTGTTTGGCTTTGACTATAGCAAGGATGCAAAGAAATGGAGGCAGCAAGCTTTTAAATTTGTCTCCCCAGCAAAATGAAAATTACTAGGAACTAATTATCTATGTACTAAAGAGCAACAAGTTGTAATTTCTGACCCATATATATTTTCATTACAAATATGTCTATGAAAATCTTGTGCAAAAAAGTATTTCCAAGTGCCAGTCTATTAAGCATTCAGTTTGAGAAAATGTGATGCAATGTTGGTCTTGTTTTACTTATAAAACTTGTTTACATTACATTTTAGTTACAGATGGCCAAAATTTTCAATTACTATATATGAGGTTCCTTAACAGTGTGGAAAATTCTTTACAATTCTTAAAGTATTAACTATTTAACTAAAGGTGGATATGTAACTTATAGTTTTAACAATACAGATGTACTGAAATACTTAATACAATACAAAACAAATACTGGACACATTTTATAAGTAGACAGTAAGATATCTCTTTCTGGTAGCCACTGCTTTTCTTTATAATAAAATAAGCCACCATTCTGACTTCAATTAATTTTTCATGTTACATCATGTAGATCTTTTTGTAATCACCATAGAAGGAGCTCTGGTGGCCCAGTGGTAAGAAGCTGTGCTGTGATCTAAACGGCATGAAGTTCAAATCTACCAGATGCTCCATGGGAGAAGGATGAGTAATGTCCCCACATGTAACTTACTGTCTCTGAAAAACCCCATTGAGTGAATTTCAAATTGATGGCACATACAACAATAATCACCACAGATTGTAATTTATTTATGTCTAAAGTTAGGTAAGAATGATATATCCATGGAACATTTTTTTTAAAAAAATAGTGTCTTAAGAAAAAAAAATTTTTTTTATTGGTCTGTATACAATATTTGTTTACATTGTGTTTCATTCATATACATTGTTTTATACAATCTTCAATTTACATTGTGTTTAATACAATCATTCATATACATGATTTTTATTATGAATTACTATGACCTTTGTCTATTATAAGCCTGTCTTTTCAAGCTCTTGTTGAATCTTTTCTATTCTTTCATTCCTTGCCCCTCTCACCCACCCTCTAACCTCTGCTATGCTTGTGATTTCCATCTTCCTCTTTTTCTGCACCTTCTCCTGAACCTATTTTTGCATATCTATACAAATCTCATTAGATCTCTTCTATTTTACAGTAATAGTCTTAAGTAGTATTTATCATTATTAGACTGAGTTAATTCACTTAGCATAATGCTCTCTAGACTCTCCCACCTTTTATAGTCCTTCATTAAATCACGGTTTCTTAATGCTGCATGGGTTCCATTGTGTGACTGTGCTAGAATTCCACAATCCATTTGTTTGTTGATGGACATTTGGGCTGTTTACCACCCAAGGAATTTACATTTATTTTGAATTAAATATTCTATAATGAAAATAAATATTTTATGATTCAGAGGAATGAGTTTTCAGAATGTAATGTGTGATTAAGATCATCAATTCTTTTCAACTCCAAGAAAATATTTATTGGACAGAATAGTATAGACTCTTTTAAAACCTTTTTTCCAATATCTTATTTGAGATCTAAAGTCACTCACTCACTTACTGCTGTCATGAGAGAAATGACTCACAGTTGACCCTCCAATGAGTTTCCAAGGCTACAAATCTCATGGGAGGAGACTGCTCATCCTTGGGTTAGCAGTGCCACTGCTTTTGTGTATGCCACAAAAATGCCAAGATCTAAAGAAATGACTCAAAACTGCTATAACACTAGAGTGTACCTCAAGTTTGTGACCTGGAATGTGTATAAAAATTTACTGTCAGATATTAACTGAATATTAGTTCCTCACTTTAAGTATACACAGAAATTATTACTTAATAAATCAAAATAGAATGTTGTTACACAAACTTTCTTATTATGTTTGCACACACTAGTTGGAAATAAAAATTTCCGAGGTGGTAAATTACTTAGGCAAGAATAGCAATTTTACTTAATAAATTATTTTTAAAGGCTAGAAAATGGAAAATATTTCTTACCGGAGTGGGATTTTCCCACTTTCTTAAAAAGTCTTCTTTGGCTTTGGCTAGAAATTCTTTCACTGAAAAATAAAAAACAAATTTTGTCTTGTAAGAATACTTGTATTTCATTTGAAAGTGTTTGCATTAGTCAATGATATTTCACTTATGTCTACCATAAAACATGTACAGTCACACTCATCATGCACTAGAGAGCTATGTCTCTACAGATGATAAAAGCAGCTCAGTATTATCAGGCAGTTCAAGGGCTGGGCTGACTGGAAAACACACAGCTCAGACGATATTCAAACTGAAGCTGAAGGACCATAAATACATAAAGACAGAGTACTACTTTGAGTATCTCTCTCCAATATTTATATACCACCTCAACAATGTAAGATTGGCACAGGATAAAGAAGGGATTAGGGCTGTTGTACATAGGGTTGCTGTAAGTCACTGGTGACTCGACAGCACATAACAACAACAACTTCAACAATAGACTTAATGTATTGAACAGTAATGACTGAAACTTGCCTTGAATGTAAAATTCAAGCTAAAGCCAGTGCAAGCAATTATGAAAGAGCTGAACAGAAGATTTCTAAGGGTGGCTTGAAATTACAAAGTATTATTAAGAAATGTGCAAAGACCTAGAGTTAGAAAACCAAAAGGGAAAACATGCTTGGCATTTCTCAAGCTGAAACTACTGAAGAAAAATCCAAACCCCAAAATATAACAGTGAAAGATTCTATAGACAAAGGACACATTAAAAAAAGATGGAATGAATACAGAGTCACTATGTCAAAAGAAGTGGTTGATATTCTACCATTTTAGGAATTAGCATATGATCAAGAACTAATGGTATTGAAAGATTAAGTCTATGCTACATGGAACACAATGAAAAAAACAAGCCTCCAGAAACTGATGGCACATTGAGATGTTAAAACAAATAACTGTAATGCTGAAAGTGTTTTCTCTGTGCCAGCAACTTTGGAAGGTTACCTGTTTAGCTGACTGGAAGAAACCCATATTTGTGTTTATTCTAAAGAAAGATGGTCCATCAGAAAGTGGAAATTACTGAACAACATACAAACAAGGAAAGCCTTGAAGATAATAAAAAATTACTATAGTAGTACATCCACAGGAAACTTCCAGAAATACAAGTTGGATTGAAAAGAGAATATGAAAGGTTTTCAACTGTGTGGGCTGAATATGAATAACATTCTGAAAAATGACAATACTAGAAACACTAAATTGTGCTCATGTGGAAATATATAGATAAAAGGAACTAGTTTAAGAGAACAAGGGGTACTGTAAGGTTTAAAATAAAGACAGTTGTACCTTAGGCTTGCATTCTTTCACTAAACTTACTCAATCTGTGTGCTGACTAATCAGCTCAACATCAAAGAAACAAAGATTCTTATCATTGGGCCAATGCACAGCACCATGATAGATGGAGAAGAGATTGAAGCTGTTAACTATTTTGGCTTGCTCAGTTCCACAAATAGCTCTTGGCACTAGCAGTCAAGAAAACAAAAGACAAATTGAAATGGGAAAATCTAGTGTCAGGGATCTCTCTAGAGTGCTAAAGAGCAACAATGTCAATCTAGAGACTACAGTGTGCCTCTGCCTGATCCTTTGCCTTGGTCTTCACAATTACTTGCTATGCATCAGAGAGCTGGACAATGGCTAAGGATGACAGAAGAAGAACTGATGCCTTTCAATTGTGGTGCGGGAGAAGAGTATTGGGCCTATTATGGGCTGCCAAGAGAAGGTGAAGACAAGTTGCTTCTTTTGAAGTTCTATCTCACATACTTTGGGCATGTGGCCAGGAAGGCTGAAGGGATAGTATAGGATAGGAAGCCTCCGGATGAGATGGATTGACAAAGTAACTGGGGTAATGGGGGTAGGTGTGTCAGAGACAGTAAGACTGGCTCAGAATAGGGCAGGGTGCAAAGCTGTTGTGCACAGGGCTACTTCCCATGAGTTGCAGGTGACTTGATGGCATATAACAACAATGTTGAGTAAACAGTTCAAGAATTTGGATTATATGAAGAACATAGGATTAGAGAAAAACTTACTATAACTTGCCATATGTAGATGACATAACCTTGCTTGCTGAATGTGCTTAATAATAAAGATCTAAGACTATAACATTAATCCTCACAATTGGACCAATAATGATGAATGAAGAAAACACTAGAGCTTCAAAGCTCTCATTTTACATAGATCCATAATCAGTCCCCATAGAACTTGTAGTCACCACAAAATCAGATGACTTACTGCACTGGGCATTTCAGTTGCAAAGATCTCTTTAAAGTAAAAAAAAAAAAAAAAAAAAAAGGCAGATGTCACCTTCAGGACCAAAGTGTGTCTGGCTCAAACCAGAGTATTTTGAACAGCCTCATATGTACATATTTGATGCCTCTGAGCTGTAGTGTTGGAGAAGAATACGGAGTTTTTTGTGGATTGCCCAAAGAACTAACAGATACATCTTGGGAAAAGAGTAGCCAGAGTGCTTCTTGGAAGCAAAAATGTGAAATGTCATCACTCATACTTTGGAAATTTTGCTAGGATAGGCGATTCCTTGGAAGGAGATATCATACTTCAAAAGGTGGAGGGTCAGCTAAAGACAGGAAGACCCTCAACAGAGTAAGTTACACTATGACTGCAGCAATGGGCTCATATATATTAGAGAAGATGGCACAGGTTCAGGTGTGTTGTTTATCAGGTCGATATGAGTACGATGGACTGGACAGCACCTACCAACATCAATATGCAGAGCTAATTGTAAAGAATAAATCACTAAATGTACAATACTCAATCATTTGTTGTCCAGCCTCATTTCTGTCATCTTCTTATATTTTCCAACTACCATTCCTTCTTCATTGTTTCCAACTTCTGCATTCAAGTGACCAATTATTATTAATGCATCATGATTTATGTCTGGTCAATTTCAGACTTCAATAGTTAGCAGAAGTCCTCAATTTTCCCATCTTTGGCTTTATCTGGTGGTACATGTATTTGGATAATATTGATATTAACAGATCTTCCTTGTATGTATATGGATAATATCCTTTTGCTCACAATGCTATATTTAAGGATAGATATTGAAATGGTCTTTTAAACTATGAATACAATACCATTCTTTCTTATTTTTTCTTTCTCGGAACAGTAAACCATATGATGTCTGATTCAAAGTGGCCAATGCCAGCCCATTTCAGCTCATTATGCCTAATATTCCAATATCTGTGTGTTCCATTTCATTTTCTCCAATGTCGGGTTTTCCTATATTCATACTTGGTACATTCCACATTCCAGTTATTAGTGGATAACTGCAGCTTTTCTTCCTCATCTTGAGTGTCTTCCAGTCTAAATAAAGCTATATCTAACTGTGTAATTGTGCTTTATTGTTCATGGGGTTTTAGAAACCTGTTATTTCAGAAGTGTCTGGCCAATCCTTCTTCCCAATGTGTCTTAATCCTGGAGTTCTGTTTTAATAGAGCATCTGACAGCCATGGCTGTTACCTACAAGAACAGATGACAAACAACCACTCCCTTAATACAAGAAGCCAGTAGACAAGTCATAATATCCCTAAGAACACACTCTAAAGACAAGCAAGCACAAGACAGACATGTGTCAGGGCTGTACTCTTTCTCTATACCTATTCAATCTGTTTGCTGAACAAATCAGTCAAGAACCTAGACTCTGTTAAGAAAAAGTGGCATCAGGATCAGAGGAAGACTCAGCAACAACCAGTATTAGTATATCTAGCTGACACAACCTTGCCTGCTGAAGGTGAAGAGGCCTTGAAACACTTGCTGCAGAAGACTAAAGTCTTCAATATGGATTGCATTGCAACACCAAGAAGACAAAAATCCTCACCACTGGGCTGATGGGCAACATTATGAAGGAGAAAAGATTGAAATTGCCAATGATTTATCTTATTTGGATCCTCAATCAACACCCTTGGCATCAGCAGTCAAGAAACCAAAAGATATATTGCATTGGGAAAGTCTGCTATCAAGGACCTCTCCAAACTACTGAGGAGCAATGATGCCAGTTTGAAGACTAAGTGTGCCTGACTCAAAAGACGGGCCTTTTTAATCACCTGCTATGTACGCGAAAAATGAATTATGAATAATTATGACATACGAAGAATCAATGCCTTTGAATTGTGTGGGGAAAGAGAGTACTAAATATCCCATGGACAGCCAAAAGAGCAAATAAGATACGTCGTGAAGAAGGTGCAATAAGTGTGTTTCTTAGATGCAAGGATGGCGAAGCTTCGTCTCACATATTCTGGCAGTTGTAAGGAGGGGCTATTCCTTGGAAAGAGATGTCATGCTTGAAAAAGGGTGAGTCAGCGAAAGATGGGAAGACCCTCAACAAAATAGATTACCCACAGTAATGAGTTCAAGTGTGTCAGAGATGATAAAGAAGGTGCAGGAGAAAACAGAATTCAGTTCTGTGTTTAGAGGGTCACTATGAGTTGTATTTAACTCGACAGCACATTGTTGTTATCATCCAGTCAGAACCAACTCATAGCTGACCCTCCAGTGGGTTTTCAGAGGCAGTTTAATGACCCAGGAGGAGACTGACCATCTTTCCGCTATGAAGCAGCTGGTAGATTCGAACCGCAATTATTTTAGGACAGCAACACAGCCCCTTACCACAACACAGCCCCTTACTACCAGAAATCCCTAAATGGTACATAACATAACATTAACACAACATCATAAAATAACATAGCATGCAGGGAGTTCTGGTTGCCTAGTGCATAAGGAGTTTAACTGCCAATCCAAAGGCAAGTGGTTCAAATTCACCAGGCACCAGCTGTTCTGCAGACTCTCAATTGATAGCAATGAGTATGGTGAGTCACTAAGTAAGAATCTGTAAGCTGGACAACAAATAACGAAGACAGACAAACTGATTCTTTTGGATTATGGCATTGCTGGAAAATATTACATATAACACAGACCTCATGAAGACTGAACAAACTTGTCTAGGAAAAAGTATATCCAGAATGTTTTTTAGAAGCAAGGATGGCAACACTTTATCTCACATACTTTGGACATGTTATCA